CATTAAACAAAAAGGAATCAGAAATTGAAGTTTGGAAAATTCTTAGCCTATCCATATAGCAAAAAATGAGAAAACATGTTCTGGCGAGAATATCAAGGGTATGGCTGGACAATCACTCCATAAAGAGATTACCCATGGATTTAAACAACCATCTTATCAGAAGCCAGGAATAGAGGTCGGAATATACAAGCAGAGACATAGCAAGTTTGAACAAAAGCAGTTTTCAGATTCCTGGGATTCTATAGAGCTATATAGCTGTGAACATGCTTTCTCCTTCTAGAAAATGGAAGGATGATCCTGAAGACTCTTCAAACATCATTAGGGCTCCCACTCCCACCAGAGGCTCAGAGAATACAAAAAAGAGTGGTGGGAGTAGGGAAGCAGGGGACAAGACCATTTCCTCATCTATTTCAGATAGTGGGGCCACTTTCCCAGTTTCAGCAGGCCAGGCTGCCCTTACCCAGGGCTTCATGGGCAAGGCCACGATTCAGAGCTAAAGAGGTAGCATCACCATCTAGGGCCGTGGGGATGGCACTGTTGCCTAGTGGGCCCACAGGGCACAGCATTCAGCCAAGAGGATTATTCCTGAACCTTAAGATCTAATGGAATTTGCCTCACCAGATTTGGGACCTGTCACCCTTTTCTTCTATCTGACTTTTCCCTTTAGGAAATGGAATTTCTATCCTGAGCCCATCCCGCTATTGTATTTTAGAAGCACATAACTTGTCTGGTTTCACAGTTTCAGAGCTAGGGAAGAAGTTTAACTCAGAGTGAATCATAGCTGGAGTCTCCCCATACCTGGTTTAAATGAGACTTTGGACTTGGAATTGATGCTGGATGAGTTGAGACTCTTAAGGCAATTGGGATGGGGTGAATATATTTAAAATGCAAGAAGGATGTGAATTTGAGGGGAGCAGAAGATGGAATATTGTGAACTAAATTTTGTTCCCCAAAAGTCATATATTGAAATCCTACTTCTCAGCGTGACTGTATTTGGAGATAGGGCCTTTAAGCAGATAGTTAAGGTTAAATGAAGACATAAGAGTTGGGCCCTAATCTAATAGGAAGATTAGGCCCTAATCTAATTAGGAAGATCTAACAGGAAGATGTCTTTATAGGAAGAGGGAGAGATATTAGCGAGCTCTCTTTCTATGCATGCAAAGAAAAAATAATATGAGGACATAGTGGAAAGGCAGCCATCTACAAGCTAAGAAGAGAGATCTCACCAGACATCAGTCCTCTGGCTCCTTGATCTTGGACTTCCAGTCTCCAGAACTATGGGAAAATAAATTTCTGCTGTTTAAGCCACCCAGCCTGTGGTATTTTGTTATGGCAGGCAAAGAAGACTAATACAAGTCCCTTTGGGGATGGACTGGGGGAATCATTAATATTTACACTAGTCATGGTATTGAAGAGGTCTTCCTTCTGAGGACCTGCCTTCTCCTTCAATAATTGGGTCCTGTGTCATAAAACTGGCTCAGGTAGAACTAGAGTCGGATAATAGTTTATGACTTTTGGGGGGATGGTTGCCCTTAGCTTACTGTACATTCATCTTTGACTTCTTTCTATTGTAGATGTTGAGCAAAACCCAGTGGTACGCTTGCAAGATGTGATTGCTAAACCTTCAGGATTTTGTGAGCCAATTGTTAAAAATAGTTATTATTTAAAAATTACATTATCTAAACTTAAATTAATAAATTACATTAAAAGCAAAAGATACTTAGAACTCAATTTATGAATATTTATCAGGCCTTATTTAATCATAATTAAAATGCCCTCTGGAATTAATAAAACTAAGGTAAGGCAGTATTTCTGAAATCCTGCCCCATCTACAATAAAATTCAATGGGGCTTTTTATTATATTTTACTATTATCTATGCATGAAATTATTTACATATGTCATACCCATATAACAGAAATACTATGTACTGGTGTACTACTGCACATCTCTTCTCAACTCTGTGTTCAGTGATGTCACATTGGTAGCTCAAAAACAGCCATGGTGGAAGTAATTACATCACAGAAATCAGCACATGTTACAAACTAGGGCATTTTTTTTTTTTCTCTGTAGCACCAGTTATTAAAGACGAGCACACAAGTAGAAATATCCTTTTTGGATATCTATCTGTCTTACCCCTGGGAGTGTTTGATAACTCTTTAACTTTCTGTGGGCCAGTAATCTTGTATGCTACTCCAAACTCACCACTCATTACAGTAATTGTGTCTGTCTCGTTTCACAGTTGAGCTGTGCCACTTGACCTCTACTACTTCAAGATCCTGTCACTACCAATGTTATCTGTAAATCCAATTCTGTGAGAACATCCCCTATTGTAATCCTTGGCCTACAAAGGAGAACTGCCATAAGATTTTTCATGATGCTTATGTGCATTCACCAGTGCATTCCTCATTGCTTTGTTAATAGATTTCCCATAGGACATAGTCATCTGCTGAATTTTCTGTCCATATTGAGTATATCCACTCTAGAATGCCCCCTTCTCTAAGCATGTTTATCTTCTCATCAACTATCTCCTACAGCAATTTTGGGATTTTATTCTGTTTAGCATGGGCCATTGCTTTCTTCAAGCTTCTTGGAGTTATTTTAGATTATCAGGACTCTCTCACAACATTTTGACAAGTTATTTAATTTTATGTCTCAAGAGAGTATTCCAATGTGGAAAAAAATCTCCCTTATCGAGCTTTGTGTTTCTCTTTGATCCAGCACCCTCAGAATCCAATCCCATTATGTACTCTCTAGGTTGTTGTCATTACGTATTGGTTATGTCTGAATTCGTTCTGAGTATAATCCTTTTTCTCCCTAATCAAGGCTGGCAGTTAACCTTGATTATTGGCCTATGATCAGGAGGGGAAGGAAGCGATGGTTGTAAGGTAGGTGTGTAGTTTCTTTCATAGCAGAGGACTCGACATCAGCTTGAAGCAAGGAGAAAGGCTAGACATTAACGGGGAGAACCCACCACTTTCACAGGTTTAGGGGGTTCAGCATTTTTAGAGGGTTCTAGTTATTTTAAGATTTTTGGGAAAGATTTTGTCAAAAAATATACTACAAGTGGTGGAAAGTATTTGTCATACCTATATCTGACAAAAGCACATATTTCCATATTATTTATATATTATGTTATAACACATTACATGTATATATTACAATTCATAATAAGAAGGCAAATAATCCCATAAAAATGAGTGAAATATTTGAATAGAAAGTTCACAAAAAAAGATATATAAATTTCCATAAGCACATGAGAAAATTCTCAACAGATCATTAGAGATATGCAAATTAAAACTACATTTAGATACCACCACACACCTACTAGAATGGTTAAAATGAAAAAGACTGACCATATCGAATGTTGTGTTGTTGATCTGAAACAACTGGAACCATTCTACATTCATGGTAGGAATGGTACAACCTCTTCAGAAAATGCTGTATGTTTATAAAATTAAACATGTATTTTCTTTTTTAAAACAACTTTACTGAGGTATAATTGATATACAAAACACTTGAGGTAATTAATATGTACAGTTTGATGAGTTTGGACATATGCAAGCATCCATGATGCCATCGCCACAATCAAGGTAATAGACATATCCATCACTTCCCATATTGCATGTTGTGTTCTTACTCCAAAAAAAAGAGAGAGGGCACAAACATATATTTTTTATATGACCTAGTAATTCCAGTCCTGGGTATTTTCTCAAAAGATTAGAAAATATATGTCCACAGAAAGACTTTTACACAAATGTTTATGTTGGCTTTATTACAATAGCTAAAAATTGGAAACAACTCAATGGAGTAATGGATAAACAAATAATTATATATTCACACAATGAAATACTACTCAGCAATAAAAGGGAATGAACTTCTGGTCAATGCAACAACATGGATAAAACCCAAAAATATTATGCTGAGCAAAAGACACCAGACACAAGAGTGCTTACTGTGGGATTCTATTTATGTAAAATTCTAAAATCAGGAGAACTCATCTCCATTGACAAAAGGATAATGGTTACCTGGTTCCAGGGATCAGGGGAGGAACTGCAAAGGTACATTAGCGAACATTTCAAGGTGATGGGAACATTTTATATTTTGAGTCAAATTTTATATAACTTTTTTTCCCTTAGGAAGAAAACTAAATTTCACTCAAAGATGATAGTGCAATCTCTATATTCTCCTATACATACATTTCTAATGGTCCTATGGACAGAATTTTTTGGTGATGACACAGGTAGAATATGTTCATTTTTTTCCCAATATTTGTCTTCTTTCTGTCCCCAAATGGAAATAACGACTTTGCTATCTCTCCTTTCCTTCTGTATTTTACCTTGCAAAATTTTATTTTAGGTGGTGGCAGAAGTGACCAGAGCTATATATTTGAGGCCACCCAGAAGAGTGTAATCCTGTACTTCTTATTTTTTTCACATTTTCTTTCTTTCCATTCTTTTGTATCCTACTTTCCTCTCTGTTCTCACTTCCTCTTCCCCTCACAGTGTCCCTGTGGTGTTAATCCTGAAACAGCTTAAAGAACATCAGCTGCTTCTTTTTAGTTTCCTCTCTAATATATCATATATACATAAAATTCATATATAATATATATGAATAGTATATATTATATGAATGTTATATATGAACATATGTAATATTCATTGTGTTTGATAGAGAGAGGAAATGGTTTTGTTTCTGTTTCAGCAGCCAGTTTAAAGCATAGCTTTTCTTTTTTTGATTTCATCACCTTTAAGATGGTCATTCTTAAAACATGACAATTAATCTATAACGTCCTAAAGCATGTCTTTTAATTAATTGGTATCCTTATCTCTTATGGCTCTGGAAGGACCTTAATTATGAACACTGTTGGGACAATTGAAAACAAATTCCTCTAGAAGATTCTTTGCTCTATGATTCATCTTTTAAGAGTATATGAGCTTGTCATTCTTCACTTTTAGCGAACTTCCTTCCTTTCCCGCAAAGATTGTTTGTTTTCTTCTTGCCCTCCGCCCTCCAGGAAGGCATTGTGGTAAATGATAGTTCAACTCAATCATAGTCATAAGATTACTTCCCTTTTGAGAAATAGCGCATAAAAACTTGTTTTACTTTTCAATAGCAGCATAACTCTAGCCCGGAGCTGTGTTGTAAAAACAACAAAAACATTTTTAGAGTAAAGTAAAAACTTTTAAGACAGGTTTTGGAAGATATGACACAAAGCAGGCAAGTAGCTGCACCGGCTCAAGGAGGACCAGAAAATGATAACAGCAACCAAGGAAAAGAAACACAGAAGAAGCAAGGTAAGGACATTTTCAGCTGTTCAAAATGAAAGTTACTTACTGAAATTATGAGGCATAACGTTAAACAAAACCCTTTAAAGACATGACATGGGTTTTGTATTTTTTGTATCAAGGCAAAAGAAGAATACTTTTTAAGTTAACATCTCCATAAATGAAAAATGATAACAAAATTTAGATTTGTAACTGACTCTTTTTCCTTATAATTCAGATTCACTTTGTCTTATCTTAACTGATAATGGAGAGAGATTAATCGTAGCTTAAAACAGCTCAGGATTTAGTTTCATTTTTACTAAGTAGTTAATAAAACCAATACTGGAGAAGATGTTAAATTTGATCCACATACTCATTCAATGCCCCAAATGCATACATGATATGAAAAATTTGGCCAATATTTTAAAAGATTGTTTATGCCCAGAGAGTAGAATCAAGATAAACTAGACTTTAGAGGTTCTTAATAACAGAAGGATTATCTCCCTATTGTACTCCTGTCTAAACAAATGCTGGTATCCTGATATCCTTAGTAATGTCTCTGGCAACCTTAAGATGAATAAGGAAAGAAAAGGTACTAAAAATAACTTAGAAAATAACTTGGTAGCATTGGATGTAGCAATACTAACCAAGCAAATAGCAAGGTCAGAGTACGTAAGATCCAAATTCTAAATCTAACAGGAAAATCTTTCAAAGTCAATCATCCAGGGCTCTTTATGTCAAAACATGGTGAAGAAGGGAGAGGATCAAGCTAAAATACTTTAAATACAACTATATATTTAATTTCGTTTCAACCTGTATGTGCAAACTATCATTTCTCATATTGTCAGGATGTGCATTCCCTTCTTTCCTCCTGTTGGCTCAGAGGTTTTTCCTCTTTTTTAAATCCATCTATCATTCTCCTAATCATCCTGTGGGGGACTGGAATTGGCCACCCCAAGATATGTCTCTTGGGCATGAGGATTATTTGGGGCTGGTTACTTTTAACAAACTGCAGACAGGAAAGCAACTCTGAAAAGTAGAATTTACTTACCCTTTGTTAAGAGACATTTACACTGTAAAGGAAATCTCCATCTGTAAAGGTGTCTGCCTCTCTGTACCAAGAATAAGGGGGATGACCTTATCTCCAGAAACTCTTAATCAATACCAAAGGCAAGGACTTAAATCTGCATTTTCTTTACTGTACTTGTGTGGTAATCTCCCATGATCAACTCCCCCAAACCCTCAACATCCTCCTTTACCTTTAGCTGAAGATGATATTTAAGGTGGTGGCCATTTTGGCAAGCTGCTCAGCTTGCCTGAGCCTCTCCCATGTATACATGTTAAAAAGCTTTGTTTAATTTTCGCCTGTTATTCTGTCTCATGTGAATTTAATTCATTCTCTGGACAGAAGAACACAGAGAGGGTAGAGGAAATGTCTTCCTCCCCTACAATCCCTTTAACAAGCTAGGAATTTTCCGCAAATTCAAGGGTCACTGATTTCAAGCAGGTTTGGGTTTTCTTTCAACAGTCATTCTGGAAGAAAAGAAAATGAGCCTGGCTACCTACTTAAAATGTATAAAAATTGCATATGGGAAAGTGTATTTAAAAATTCCACTTAATATAGCAACAAATAACCTTCACCTTCCCCCACACACAATAGTTAAAATATGGAAAGATGGGAGAGCTAACACCATAAAAAAATAATAACAAAAACTTTCTTTTATTTAATTCCTCGTGCAAGCTAGACTGTTTGAAAACATAGCACATCTATATCCTTTAATTAAAAAAAAAGAGATAGTGTTATTTAATGGATGAAGAGATATAGGCTCAAATAGGGTAAGAAAATAAAATTATACACTGTAAACATTTGACCAAGATTTTGAAATTGTAATATTTAAAACTGTAATATCCTTTTGTTCACTATGCCAGTTCATGGACAGACAAATAGGATACCATAATGACCTATTGACTTGACTGACGGCATAGAAAAGAGAAAACAAGTATTTGATTTCTTGATACCTTGATATTTGAGGAAAATTAATATGGAATTAAAGAAATTAATAAGATAATATTTGTAAGGTGATTAAAAACCTCATTAGAAAGAACCTGGACTCAAGCTCTGAACTGAGTCATGTACAGCACCAAAAAGGCTGAAAAGACAGACATATGTTATGTTTATCCTCATTTTGACCTTTCCTACATTGCAGGTCTGGTCATTTCTCTTACCTGGGAGCAATCCCTCCATCTGTGGTCCAATAAGACCCCAATCCTTCTAGCCTATGCAAGAATTATTCTTTTTAATTTAATGATTCCCTCCTTTTCCTGCCTGTGCCAGCAATCTATCCCTTTTGCACTAAATAATCCCCAAATGCATGGAAACATTATGTGTTACATCTTTTAAAAAAATCCTGCTATAACTATTAATCTCATTCCACTAACAAATTCTTTGCTTGTTCTGCTTCACAAAGCAAAGTTCTCTGAGAGTCTACATGCTGATTTCACTTTCGTACTTCCAACAATCTAACTTCCTCCTGCGTTACTCCTTAAAACCACTCTATCAAGGACAACAATGACCTTCACGTGTTCCAGCTGAATTTTTCCATCTTCTCTGTTACAGATCTTATTTAAGACATCACCATAATTTTTTTATTTTCCCAAGGAAGATTAGCCCTGAGCTAACGTCTACCAATCCTCCTCTTTTTTTCTGAGGATGACTGGCCCTGAGCTAACATCCGTGCCCATCTTTCTCTATATGTGGGACGCCTACCACAGCATGACTTGCCACGTGGTGCTATGTCCACACCCGGGATTGGAACTGGCGAAACCCAAGCCGCTGAAGCAGAACGTGTGCACTTAACTGATGTGCCACTGGGCGGGCCCCCATCACTGTAATTTAATTGGTTATTTACAGTCTCCTAAACAGGCTCTCCAGCCAGTAGTCACACACACAACTTTTAAAAATGTAGATCTGGTAATATCAAACACTCTCATAAAAAATTAGCAGCTTCCCATTATACTTAGAGGCAAATCGAGTTCTTTCCTAGGGCATTCAGAGCATAGCATGGTTTTGCTCCTAGTAGTCACTATTCTCCCCTGGTACCTCTGACCCAGTCACACTTGTTACACTTTGCTACATTCTTTTAAGTTCTTTCCTGATTCAAGCACTTGTACATGCTCTCTTTGCTTGAAGTGCTTTCTCTTGTTTATTTTGCATAGATGGCCACTGCTCATATTTTAGGTCTTGGTTTTAGCGTCATTTCCACAAATGGCCTTCCTGACTATCCCTTTTAGTCGCTTCCCCTTTATCGATCAGAGGACCATGCTTATTGCCTTTCTAACACTCGCTTCAATCTGTATTTTCAAATTCATTTTTATCAGTCTTTTGCACCAACTGTAAGTTCCAGGAGGGTATGGATTATGTCTTTTTAGTCTACTATTGTATTATGGAAATTAGCTCATAATAGGTCATTAACAAGTAAACATTTTGTTAAAGGATGAACAAATAACACAGTGCTGGTTCAAAAGTGAAGCATTGTGTGTACTACAGTTCATGTTTATTGTGTAGCTTTGAAATTCCAAACAGAAAAAACTCACAGCTAATGATAAGACTTTTCAGAAATTTGGCATAAATATATGAAGTTAGATGTAATTCCATAATGATATTTCTCAGATAGTTGAAATAATAACAGTTTGGTGCCTCAAAAACAATGCTGATATTCTCTTTGCTGCATTCCCTCTCACTCTTTATGGTACTCTATAAAAATCAATTTTTCATGAATTTTTATGGGTATCAGCATTTTCATGCATTAATCATGATGATATGGATTAGTACCATACTTTTGGAAGAACATTCAACCAATATATAGCAATTTATTTATTTTTGAAAATTTTTCTTAAGAAGATAATTAGACAAATATGCAAGACATTTAAATTACACTTGTTCTAGTTCTGGCTTAAAAAAGGGATGGAGCAGCCTAAATATCCTTCAGAAGAGGATTAGTTTGGGGGCAGGCCCAGTGATGCAGCAGTTAAGTTCACACTTTCCGCTTCTCAGCGGCTAGGGTTCGCCGGTTCGGATCCTGGGTGTGGACATGGCACCGCTTGGCATGCCATGATATGGTAGGCATCCCACATATAAAGTAGAGGAAGATGGGCACAGATGTTAGCTCAGGGCCAGGATTCCTCAGCAAAAAGAGGAGGACTGGCAGTAATGAGCTCAGGGCTAATCTTCCTCAAAAAAAAAAAAAAAGAAGAGGATTAGTTTGTTGGTGTTTTTTTTAATGGTGTAGCCATATGATAGAATATTATCAACCATTAAAATTACAATATCAAAATATACTTTTACATAATACGTAAATTTAGCTATTGCTCTGAATGAACAACCATCCCAAAGTTTAGTGGATTAAAACAACCACCACCATTTTCCTTACGGTTCTATGAGGTAGGAATGTGGACAAAATTCAATGGGGATGGCTCATGCCTCCTCTATGTTTATGCCAGCTGGTATATTTGGGCAGGGACTGAGGATCCACAATGTCATCACTCACAGATTTGAGCCATAGTGGTTGGGTTAATATGTTTATCCTCCATATTCTCTCTCCCAGTCTTCTTCAGATGGTGGCTGGGCCCCTTTAGTGGTAAGCTTGGCCTTCCTCAGATGGTGGCTGGACTTCAGAAGAGTAAAAGGAGAAATTGCAAGGTCTCTTAAGACCTAGGCTCTAAAGTCTCAGAATGTATTTCTACCACATTCTATTGGTCAAAGTAAGGCACAAGGCCAATTCATATTCAAATTTCAGGAGATACAGTGTACCTCTTGATGGGAAGTATAGCAAGATCATGTGTCAAAGGGGAGGTGGACACAAGGAGGCGTGATTCATTTGGGGCCATTTTTAACAGTCTACCACACATGGGAAGAACAATTGTTAGCTGAAAACATTAGATTATAAAACAATGGCTACATGATTATTGCATTCATTTAAAATTATGCGTCTTTGGGAGGGAGGCTATGTGTGTTAAAACAGGATTAGAAAGATGTATGGATGGAAGGATGTTATCCCAAATGATAATGCTGGCTATCTCTAAGTAGTATAAATTTAGTTGCATTTTAAATTTCATTTCTTTCCTATATCCACTAAGGAAAAAGTTTATTTAATGAAAGAATAACTAGTTCACTAAGTGAAAAAAAAATGGGAATGATAAATGCTTTCAATAAGTTATATTATCTCATAGTAACTTCCACACTTTTTTAAATTTCATAAAATTTTACAAGGATGAATATTTCGTAATCATGTAAAACAATATAAATGTTTCATTTCAAAAAACTTATAACCATATTTTTTTCTTAAATGGGCACTAATAAAAGAAAAACAATCCCTCACCAGAGATTTATTCTGTTCTACTGATTTTGCAGATGAGGAAATATATGACCTGAAAAAGAAATAATACTTGTCCAACTTCCCTTTGCTTGTTTGTGGCAAAAATCTGTATCTCAAAACTTTGGATTGATTACTCTATGACCTTTCAATATACTATGCTATCTATCCTTTAAAATAAACTTTTCATCTGTTAGAAAGCAGACTTTCTTCGAAACATTCAAAGAATGTTAGGGTGAGCTATATTTCACCACAGAGGAAGGACATGAAGGCCTGGGGTTGGCGCCAGGCTAAGGAAATGCTACCCTAAAGAGTCATGCATACTTCGTTCCTTGGACTATGACAGCAAAATCTTGGATTGGATATAAAGATGTCCTCAAAAATCATAATAAATTGCCTAAAATAGTTTGTTAGGTATAGTTATGAATGCAAATTTAGTCTTTCTTTTGCCTGTTTCTTAATCTAAAGGTATTTGTTTTCTTTGATTTTTCAGGTATTAAGAACATGAAGGAGAAGTGTATTTTAATTTTTATTGGACTTGTTTTGGGAATAGTTCTAACTATTCTTTATTTTTCAATTTGTTTAAAAGGTGAGTAAATCACATCCTTTATATCTTCACTTATTTTTTTTTTCAGGGCTTCCTATTATATAATCCTGTTCCTTTCTGTCTCAATCACAGTCTTTTCTTGTTCCCACTCCCTTCTCATTATTCATAATATATTTAATGAGTATCACTGAGTGAATTGTTATGAACTACATAACCTATGTAAGACATTGGGAGATGCAAAAATGATTAAGACAAAATTGTTCACCCTGATAATCTCACATCCCACTGAACTTTCTCATGCCAATGGTAATCACTATTTTCACTTGTTGCCATAGGCAAGTTTTACCCATTTAAAAATTTTGTACAAATAACATCATGCAATTTGCATGTATCCTTTGCATCTTTTTCCTTTTGTTCCACATTATGTTTTCATGATTCTTCCATGTTATAACATGTAGCAGAAATTCATTGACTCATTGTTGTAAAAGGAGGTTGGGAAATATTTTATATAAAGGATCAGATAATAAATAATTTAGGCTTTGTTAGCCATACAATCTCTGTTGTAGCTACTCAACTCTGTATTGGTAGCCAAAAACATCCACAGAAGATATGTAAACAAGGGAGCATGGCCAAATTGAACACAGAAATTTGAATATTATATAATATTCATGTGTCAAAAATCTTCTTCCTCTTTTAATTACTTTCATTTTTTAATTATTTTTGATTATTTTAAAATGTAAAAATCATTCTTAGCTCTGAGTCTGGCTTCAAGTTGTGGTCTGCAGATCCCGGTTGTAGAGTACTCCATGTTATATATTAATTTATTAATCATTCTACTTTTGATGGACATTTGAATTATGCCACATTTTGACTACTGCAAATTGTGTTGCTTTGAATATACTTATATTTTTAGTCTTTTAGTGAATAGTGAACATCATTTAGAATGTACTTATAAGAATTATTAAACCATAGAGTTTGCATAGATTAGCCTTAGTAGATAATACCTTAAATAGTAGATAATCTAACCATAATGCTATTAAAATGCCAGTTGCTCGACATATTTGTCATCACTTTGCTGTCAATTTTATCCATTTTTGCCATTCCAGTGAGTGTGTGTTGATATCTTATGTGGCTTTAATTGATATTTTTCTGATGGCCTATACCGTTAAGCTCCTTTTCATGTTTATTGCTCATTTAGTCACTAAAGACTAATTTAGTCAAACAGTTCATATTTTGTAATGGGTGTGTTCAGATACTTTGCCCATATTTTAATTGAGTTAGCTGTCTTTTTTTTGAGTCATGAGTTCTTTAACATACTAGATAAAAATCTTTTGTATTTCTACTGTAAATATCTTCTTCCCCTATGAAGTTCAAATTTATCCTCTGTATAATATCTTTCAATGAACAGTTCTTAATTTTAAGATAGTATAATTTTCTTTTCTACTGATATATAGCTCAAGTCTACTGCAGTCAGGTGACATACTGTAAATGTCTTCAATCTTTTAAAATTTATTTTTGCCACTTTATTGCCTGCTCTGGTAAATGTTTCATGTGCACTTTGTTGCTGCATGTAGCTCCCTATGTATGTCAACTGGCTTAGTTTTGTTAATCACAGTGTTCAGATATTATTATCCTTCTTTTTGCTTCTTATTATATCAGTGATTAAGAGAATTGTGTTAAAGGTTTTAACTTTTATAGGTACTTGGCATCAGGTGACTATAGCTGAAAATTTAACTAATTGTTTTACCACTATGGACCATAGATCACCAGCATCCCATTTACAACTGGTGATTGGATCAATGTCTTTAAAGTGAATTACATTGAAAAATCAATACCATATCTCATCCTTAAGATTCTCTTCCCTTAGCACCACTTTTGGTACCAAAAACTGATTCTATATGGATGTGTTCAGGAAAACATACATTGCAAATGTTACAAGAATAGGACTTTAGTGTAGGAATTAGGGAAACATGACTGGGAGGAGCTGGAGAGTGATGGTCTGAAAGGCTGTTTAGCTGGAGGAGAAATAGTCACTAATGATTTTGGCTTAAGCGTTAACATGTTTGGAGAACTCAGAGACTAGAGAAAAGTCTAAGAAGCTAACATATCTGACTGCCAAGACTACAAAAGAGAAACTCATGAAAAGGCCTGTGAAGTTCCAATGCCCAAGATCTCCAAGAATAATGTCTTCTGTTTTACTTGCACCTTCCAAATCTCAAGTGGATTCTTTTCATTGGTTAACCCAAAATCATACAGTCATGGTGGTACCTAGTTGACAACAGGCAATTTGACACATATATCTTGTTAGTTTATATTCTGTTTTATTATTTTCATTGCTTTCTTGAGATTAAATCGTGTCCTAGATTTATAACAGTCTAATATAAATTAATATTTTTTATTGAGTTAATGATAGGTTACAATCTTGTGAAATTTCAGTTGTACATTAATGTTTGTCAGTCATGTTGTAGGTGCACCACTTCACCCTTTGTGCCCACCCCCCACCCCCCCTTTCCCCTGGTATCCACTAAACTATTCTTAGTCCATAATTTTAAATTCCTCGTATGAGTGGAGTCATACACAGATTATCCTTCTCTTGCTGGCTTATTTCACTTAACATAATTCCCTCAAGGTCCATCCATGTTATTGCAAATGGAATGATTTTGTTCTGTTTTACGACTGAGTAGTATTCCATTGTATATATGTACCACATCTTCTTTATCCATTCGTCTGTTGCTGGGCACTTAGGTTGCTTCCACGTCTTGGCTATTGTAAATAATGCTGCAATAAACATTGGGGTGCATAGGACTTTTGAGATTGCTGACTTCAAGCTCTTTGGATAAATACCCAGGAGTGGGATGGCTGGATTGTATGGTAGTTCTATTTTTAAGTTTTTGAGGAATCTCCATTCTGTTTTCCATAGTGGCTGCACCAGTTTGCATTCCCACCAGCAGTGTATGAGGGTTCCTTTTTCTCCGCAACCTCTCCAGCATTTGTTACTGTTAGTTTTAGATATTTTTGTCATTCTAAAGGGTGTAAGGTGATATCTTAGTGTAGTTTTGATTTGCAGTTCCCTGATGATCAGCGATGATGAGCATCTTTTCATATGCCTATTGGCCATCAGTATATCTTCTTTGGAGAAATATCTGTTCATGTCTCCAGCCCATTTTTTGATTGGGTTATTTGATGTTTTGTTGTTGAGTTGCGAGAGTTCTTTATATATTATGGATATTAAGCCTTTGTCCGATATATGAATTGCAAATATTTTTTCCCAGTTAGTGGGTTATTGTTTTGTTACAATCCTGTTTTCATTTGCCTTGAAGAAGCTCTTTAGTCTGATGAAGTCCCATTTGTTTATTCTTTCTATTGTTTCCCTTCTCTGAGAAGGCATGGTGTCCGAAAAGATCCTTTTAATACTGATGTCAAAGAGTGTACTGCCTACGTTTTCTTCCAGGAGACTTATGGTTTCAGGTCTCACCTTTAGGTCTTTGATCCATTTTGAGTTTATTTTGGTGAATGGTGAAAAAGAATGGTCAATTTTCATTCTTTTACATGTGGCTTTCCAGTTTTCGCAGCACCATTTGTTGAAAAGACTTTCTTTTCTCCATTGTATGCCCTCAGCTCCTTTGTCAAAGATAAGCTGTCCATAGATGTGTGGTTTTATTTCTGGGCTTTCAATTCTGTTCCATTGATCTATGCACCTGTTTTTGTACCAGTACCATGCTGTTTTGATTACTGTAGCTTTGTAGTATGTTTTGAAGTCAGGGATTGTGATGCCTCCCGTTTTGTTCTTTTTTCTCAGGATTGCTTTAGAAATTCGGGGTCTTTTGTTGCCCCACATGAATTTTAGGATTCTTTGTTCTAATTCTGTAAAGAATGTCATTGGGATTCTGATTGGGATGGCATTGAATCTGTAGATTGCTTTAAGTAGAACGGACATTTTAACTATGTTTATTCTTCCAATCCATGTACATGGAATGTTTTTCCATCTCCTTATGTCGTCATCCAATTCTCTCAGAAAGGCCTTGTAATTTTCATTATATAGGTCCTTCACTTCCTTAGTTAAATTTACCCCAAGGTATTTTATTCTTCTTGTTGCGATTGTGAATGGTATTGTGTTCCTGAGTTCTTTTTCTGTTGGTTCATTACTGGAGTATAGAAATGCTACGGATTTATGCAAATTGATTTTATACCCTGCAACTTTGTTGTAGTTGTTGATTACTTCTAACAGTTTTCCAATGGATTCTTTGGGGTTTTCCATATATAAGATCATGTCGTCTGCAAACAGCGAGAGTTTCACTTCTTCCCTCCCTATTTAGATTCCTTTTATTCCTTTTGCTTGCCTGATTGCTCTGGCCAGGACCTCCAGTACTATGTTAAATAAGAGGGGTGATAGAGGGCATCCTTGTCTCATTCCTGTTTTCAGGGGGATGGCATTCAGTTTTTGCCCATTGAGTATGATGGTGGCTATGGGTTTGTCATATATGGCCTTTATTGTGTTGAGGTAGTTTCCTTCTATGCCCATTTTGTTCAAAGTTTTTATCATAAATGGCTGTTGGATCTTGTCAAATGCCTTCTCTGCATCTATTGAGATGATCATGTGGTTTTTATTCCTCAGTTTGTTGATGTGGTGTATCACGTTGATTGATTTGCGGATGTTGAACCATCCCTGTGTCCCTGGTATGAATCCCACCTGATCATGATGTATGATCCTTTTGATGAATTGCTGAATTCTGGTTGCCAAAATTTTGTTTAGAATTTTTGCATCTATGTTCATCAGTGATATTGGCCTGTAGTTCTCTTTTTTCGTGGTGTCCTTGTCAGGTTTTGGTATCAGCGTGATGTTGGTCTCATAGAATGTATTAGGAAGTGTTCCATCTTCCCTAATTTTTTGGAATAGCTTGAAAAGGATAGGTATTAAATCCTCTCTGAAAGTTTGGTAGAATTCCCCAGGAAAGCCATCTGGTCCTGGGGTTTTATTCTTTGGGATGTTTTTGATTGCTGTTTCCATCTCTTTCCTTGTGATTGGTCTGTTCAAATTGTCTGCCTCTTCTTGAGTGAGCTTTGGGAGATTGTAGGAGTCCAAGAATTTATCCATTTCCTCTAGGTTATCCATTCTTTTGGCATATAGTTTTTTGTAGTATTCTCTTATAATCTTGTATTTCTGCAGAGTCTGTTGTTATTTCTCCTCGCTCATCTCTGATTTTGTTTATTTGAGCTTTCTCCCTTTTTTGCGTTGTAAGTCTGGCTAGTGGTTTGTCAATTTTATTTATCTTCTCAAAAAACCAGCTCTTTGTCTCATTGATCCTTTCTACTGCCTTTTTCATTTCAATAGTATTTATTTCTGCTCTGATTTTTATTATTTCTCTCCTTCTGCTGACTTTGGGCTTCATTTGTTCTTTTTTCTCTAGTTTGGTTAGGTGTGCTTTAAGGTTGCATATTTGGGATTTTTCTTGTTAAGATGTGCCTGTATTGCAATGAATTTTCCTCTTAATACAGCTTTTGCTGTATCCCATATGAGTTGATATGGCATGCTATCACTTTCATTTGTTTCCAGGTTTTTTTTTATTTCTTCTTTAATTTCTTCAATGATCCATTGCTTGTTCAGTAGTGTGTTGTTTAGTCTCCACATCTTTGTGCCTTTCTCAGCTTTTTTCTTGTAATTAACTTCTAGCCTTATAGCACTATGATCGGAGAAGATGCTTGTTATTATTTCAATTTTTTTAAATTTGTAGAGGCTTGCCTTGTTTCCCAACATATGGTCTATCCTTGAGAATGTTCCATGTGCACTTGAGAAGAATGTGTATTCAGCTCTTTCAGGGTGAAGTGATCTATATATGTCTATTAAGTCCAATTGTTTTAGTTTTTCGTTTAGCTCCAGTATTTCCTTGTTGACTTTCTGTCTGGATGATCTGTCAATTGATGTGAGTGGGGTGTTGAGGTACCCTACTATTATTGTGTTGTTTTTAACATCTTCCTTTAGGTCTGTTAATAGCTGCTTTATGAATCTTGGTGCTCCTGTGTTGGGTGCATAGATATTTGTAAGCATTATTTCTTCTTGATGAAGTGTCCTTTTGGTCATTATATATTGTCCCTCTGTGTCTCTCTTTACCTGTCTTATTTTGAAATCCACTTGGTCTGATATAAGAATTGCAACACCTGCCTTTTTTTCCTTGCTATTTGCTTGAAGTATTGTCCTCCACCCCTTCACCCTGAGTCTGTGTTTGTCCTTGGGGCTGAGGTGTGTTTCCTGGAGGCAACAAATTGTTGGATCTTGTTCTTTAATCCATTTTGCCACTCTGTGTCTTTTTATTGGAGAGTTCAATCCGTTCACATTGAGAGTATTATTGATGCATGTGGACTTAATGCTGTTAATCTGTTGCTCATTATCTTGTTTTCCTGCATTTCTTTTCCTGTTTGCTTTAAACTACCCATTTAATACTGCAATTTCTTATGCTGGGTTTCTTAGATTTTTCCTTATTTATGATTTGCGACTCTGTTCTGTACTTTATTTTAGTGTCTACCTTGAAGTTTGTATTTAGAATCTCGTGTATAATATAGTCTATTCTCTGGTGGTCTCTTACTTACTTGACCAATACTGATTTAGACCCTTTGCTCTTCCCCTCCTAAATAATTATTTTCATTTTTTATTCCAACTCGTCTTATTAATTTGTAGTTAGAGTGATAAGATCATCCTTGCTTTGGTAGTTTCCTTACCTTTACCCTAATGCTATAATTGAATAATTGCTATCCTGTTCTGGTTCTATCCATCAGTCTCCCTAGTCTGTGGATGGTGTCCCCTTTCTCCCTTTTTTCTTTTTTCAGGTATGAGAGCCTTCTTGAGGATTTCTTGTAATGGAGGGCTTTTGGTTACAAATTCCCTTAACTTTTGTTTGTCTGGAAAAGATTTAATTTCTCCCTCATATCTGAAGGAAATTCTTGCTGGATAGAGTATTCTTGGCTGAAGATTTTTATCCTTTAAAGCTTTGAATATGTCACTCCATTCTCTCCTAGCTTGTAGGATTTCTGTAGAGAAATCTGCTGACAGTCTGATAGGGGCTCCTTTATAGGTTATTCTCTTTTTTTTTTTTCTTACTTCCCTGAGAATTTTTCCTTATCTTTCCTTTTTGCCAATTTTACTACTATGTGTCTTGGGGTAGCTCTTTTTACATTGACAAATCTAGGAGATCTAAAACCCTCCTCTACACACATTTCTCCGTTGATCCCTAGATTTGAGAAGTTCTCTTCAATAATTTCATTAAGCACACTTTCTGCTCCATTTTCCTTTTCCATATTCTCGGGAATTCCTATGATCCTTATGTTCTTACTCCTCATTGAATCCATTATCTCTCGGAGATTTTCCTCATTTTTTTTAATTCTTAGTTCTCTTTCTTCCTCTGTCTGGAGCCATTCAGCCTCTCTATCTTCAATTATGTTAATTTGCTCTTCTATGTTGTCTACACGGGCATTCAGGGAATCCGTATTCTGTTTTATCTGGTCCATTGTGTTTTTCATCTCAAGTAATTCTCTTTGATTCTTCTTTATGATTTCAAACTCTTTTGTGAAGTAACTCCAGAACTCGGCTTGTTTCTCTTTCTCTCTACCTCATTGAGTTTTTTGATTATAGCTGCTCTGAACTCATTATCACTTAGTTTACCTAATTCCAAGTCCTCAGGACTTAATTCTATGCTTTTATTGTTTTCCTTCTGGTCTGGGGCTTTTATAAATTGCTGGATGGTAGACGAGCGGTTTTTTCTCATGGTGGTAGAATTTGGTTGCAGTTACAGCCTGTCGCCACTAGATGGGGGTCAAGAGCGGCGTGTTAGCTCTCCGCCGTGGGGCAAGATGGCTGAGCCCACTGGCTTTGCCGGGGGGGAGGGGCTGTTACACGCGCCGGTCTGGGTTCAGATCAGTTCTGTTCTCTGTTCTCCCAAGGCCCTTGGTTTATGGGGTCCCCGTGGATGGAAGCTTTCCCCCCGTCAGTGGGTCTCCACTGAATCAGCGGCAGGAGTCCTGGATGATCCCCCGGTCGCGCGGCCCCTCCCCCGCTCCTTCCCGACCTGCGCCGCAGCGATCAGACTCTAGGGGAGGGAGCGATGTTCCCTCCTACGTTCCAGCGCCTCCGAGGCTGTAAGTAGGGTTTATGATCTCCGCCTTCTTGGTATTGTAGGTCTCTAACGAGCTGGCATTATGTTTATTCTCTGAAATTCAGTTCTTCCAATCTTTTGTTGTATTTTGGAGGGGAGAGAATCCCGGGTCAGCTCACCCCGCCATTTTGCTCCACCCCTTCCTCATAAATTAATATTTTTATTACTCCCAGATAGTACTAGGATTTCATTATATTCCATTTAGGAAGAAATGGCAAAGGTGACTTAACACAAGTGAAGTCACCTGTTGCCCTAGGAAGGCCTGCGTATCACTGTGGTTGGAATTGAAAGGAATATGGGTGTCCTGGCAAAGCCTGAACTGCTGTTATTTAACCTAAAATGAAATTGGTTTTTCAACTAGTTGTATGACAGATATGCACTTCTGGATCATGATTGTAATATTTTACACTGCAATCCTATCTTCCCCAATGATCTCAAAACACAGTAGCACATTACTTCATCTGGTCCTTAAAATATGTGTTTGTTTCAATTCTAGGTACAGAAACTCAACATTTTTGCCCACATGATTGGATTGGTTTCCAAGATAAATGTTATTATTTCTCTAAAGAAGAAGGGGATTGGAATTCAAGTAGATACAATTGTTCCACACAACATACTGACCTAACTATGATTGACACCGTTGAAGAAATGGTAACTAATTTAATATGCATTCTTATGAATTATCTTGAATAGTGGCATTAGAAATATTCAAATGCAATTATGATTTTTAAAACTTTTCACACATGCCTGTCTATATACGCAGAATATTGAAGATGTTCAGAGCATGCCATGTGAGATACAGTTGAAAAACCTGGTGATATTTTGTTTGGTTAGTATAAGACTTATATCAAGTAGTAGATTGATAGCTATCTTTATATTTTAAGGAGCATAAATAGAAGAGCTTGATAATATTTGGAAAGCATTTAAAAGCCAGTACTCCACGAACAGAGAATTGCCTCAGGAAAAATGGAATTCTCCATTCCACTCTCTTCAAAGAACCTTCCACTGACTTCTCAGTTTTGCTTTGCTATCTGTCCCTGAGGTCCCATGACAACAGCCATCAGAGCACTCACCACCAGTAGTAATGTAGTAGGTGTGTAATTGAAGTTGCCCCCTAGACTGGGGTGTGAGCTTCCGGTGAGCAGATACCATGATTTATTTGAAGTCGTATCTTTTGCTGTAGCATAAAGACAGGTACAAATTAAAAGCTTAGTGGATCTCTATTGAATAAATATTGATTCACGTGGCAAAAATCCTATGAGTAAAGAGAATTTCTGAGATCTTTCACATGGGATTGTGAAACTCTGAACCTCTGCACTTGTGAAATCTGTTCTTTGCCAAGTCACTTATGTGGTAAGCATTTACTTTTACTTTTGTTTAGTCTCTTTTAAAGTAAAGGATCAATATAAGAGGTAATGTGACTTATTTTTTTTTAAAAATTGTGAATAATGTGCTATTAAAAAGTGCTTAAAATGTAAAGCAGCACAGCACAGAAGTCAACATTGTAAAAGAGAATTGTTTGTTACTTCTGGAGTGAACAAAGCATCCGTATGCAATCTGCCTGAAGATTGATTTAAATGGGTGGGAACCAGGTGGGGGCAATGTATAGGTCAGTACAAAGAAACTAAACTATTTTGGGCAACAAAAGGTATAGAAATCTGAATAGAATGTGAAAAACTAGATATGTTAAGAATAGACACTGCAAATTAAAAAGTAAGATGCAGGCTCAATTTAGTAGGCAGATCTTCTGTAGTCAGCAGTTTTGCTGCTGAATTTTGCAAGATTTGAAATAAACATTCTGAGAAATCCTTAAACTGCCCTTTACAGTTCTCTTGGGGAAAAACAAGGTTAAATTAGTAGCAAGATAGAAAAATAATGTGTTAATAAAATTTTTGAAGGATAGAGAAATAAAGCAAATATTTTAAAAATTGTCATTTATAGGAATCTTATCAGGAAAGGCTGACAAAAATGGTGAATATAGTGAAACACAAAGAACAGAAGTATACAAAAATAATTACTTTTGAGCTTAACAGAAATCATTAAACTTATCGGATGAGAATAATTGTACTGTTTGGATAGAGAAAAAAGACTTTGATCATGTAATATCCTGAGATATTTTGAAGGTCATAGATGGCTATTATGTGCTACATAATCTGGGCAAAATTTAAGTGACAAACAGAATGAGGTAAAGTTATCCGTGAAGGAGTGATAAAAGCAATGTGTAGAAGAATTTTTTAAAGGACTGTTTATTTAAAATAGTTTGATTAGAATATTACATATATTTGTTTAAATTACAAAATGTTCTCCTTAGTTAAAATGAGGTGAAGCTTGTTTCATAAATTGTTTCCCATATTTATTTCCACCTATTTAAAATTATCTTGCATCTTTAACATGGATTACATGGGCAAATCTTTATTGAACAAATAACGATTGACATTTTTCATAGGACAGGCTCTAGGAAATGCACCTCTGAGTTCCCTGTCACCAGGACCAAAACTACTGAATTTCACCCAATTTTCCCAATTATCCAATAACATGTATCCTGTTGGTTTCCAATACATTCATCCTTTCTAATATTTCTTTCTGCCTTCTAACAATCTCTTCCCTAAACCTCAAATATGAATTGCCCTCTTCTCCCTTGCCCTCTATATTTATATGGAATCTTCTCCTCCTCTCTTGCAGACTTACCTCTTAGAGCACATCCCATGTGAAAGGGTCTCATGAGACTCAGATGCTTCTTCCCATAAACTCGAATTTCACTTTGTATTTACAATACTCAGTATCATCTCTTTATCTGGTAGAATATTTTCTAACTCTATGTTTATATAATTTTCCTCACTATAAATGAATCCCTGTGAATACAGGGACAATGTTTTCTTAATCTGTTCCTTTGTAAACCCAAAACTTAGACTAATGAATTGACTTTTTTTTCAAATATATTCGTGAAATGCTGCAGAAGATGCTATGTTAAAATGCCAAATATTATTAGTGTCACTGTTATTACATAGGAATGGGCAATATTGTTGTGATCTACCATAATTCCCTTGTTTTTATCATAAAACTGAAACATGAAATGATACAATGTGAAGCTTACGGTTTCCCAGCTATTTAGTAGGGGAGTAGACTCAATGACTTTCTGTGTATAATATAATTCTATGGTGAAAAAGCTCTCAGGTTTCAAGAAATTTCGACATTGAATGAATAAAAAGAAGAAATATCAGGAAAATATATATTTTTTCCCTGAATGATTCCTTTAGAAAGCAAAATATTTGGCAGAAAAATAAAATTTGATAATTAGATTCTAAAGGAATTGGATACATGAGGCATGTGTGTGTGTGTGTGTGTGTGTGTGTGTGTGTGTGTGCATGAGCACATGTGATTGTTTTGAGAGAGAAGTTAAAGTAAAATATAACATTAAACTTAATATACTAGTATTTACTGGGAAGTGTAAAAATATTGTAATAAATATCTGATGATTAGGAATACTGTGCAAGAGCTCGATTGCAAAGGGTAACTTTCCAGGAGTTTACAGTTTAAAAATCCTGGAGGAATAGATTTTCATGTTGAATATTTATCAATTTGGAATCAAAAAGTATCTTAAAGAAAATTTATCTCACATCTTTGTTTCACAAATAAGAAAACTGAGGGTAAGAGGGTAAAATTCTTTTTCAAAATCCCATAGCCAGGAGTTGAACATATGTCGCCTCCCCTCACAATCTGCAAAGCAAGAGGGACAAGATAGATGACAGAAAAAACTGACAAGTAAAATGATGCAATCTATTTTGTCTCAAAAGCACTTTCTCAGGAGACACAAATGCACTAGTGATCACTGGATTGGGCTGGAGATGACAGAAAATCAAATAAGAAAATGGGTAAATGGAACCGTATTTAACAAATGGTAAGTTTCTTTCTTTCTGACATTATTTAAATTTAGATAGCACAACCTTCTCTAGAACCTATGCATTAGCTACATTTCACTACAGCCCAAGGTTTGTGTGCATGTTGCAAAGATGACATACAGAAGATTGTATCATGTATTGAGATTAGTTCTAAGGGTCAGCTAGAGAAGCTGGAAATCAGGATAAGGAAAGATCGCCTACTTGATTATTTTGGAAATAAAGACCTGAGATTCATAAGCACAGTCCAAAAACAATTAAAATTTTGCCTGATTTTAACCTGTCTTTTCCAATTCCATACCTGTTTTTCGAATTTCCTGTTATCTGTTGACATTTTTTACAGGTCAAGTTAAATCTGTTGTTCATTTTAACCTGATTTTATTTGCACTGACAGTGCAATTTATCCTGGGCTTCATGTCTTCCATTTTATAACATTGAAAATTGGATCTAAAGATCTGAGTCTACTGCACACATGACCTCAGCATAGCCACCTAAATTGGTGACTACTATCCACTTAGCCACTTACTTTGTATTAGAATTTCTCAGTAGAAATGTTAGTGACATTTTTGACTGAACAATTCTTTGCTGTGGGGAGGGGGTGTTTTCTTGTGCATCTCTGGCCTCTATCCACTAGACACAAACAATTGTCTCCCTCTCCCCTCAACTTATGATAACCAAAAGTGTCTCTAGATATTGCCAAGTATCCCTTGCAGAGAGTAGAGGGAAGGCAAAATGACCTCCAGTTAAGAACCATTGGTTTATATGAACTGGTAGTTCCGTCGATTACATGTAACTAACAATGTCAGTTTAACAAATACGAAATTTTGGAAGACAGACTCTTATAGTTCAATTTGGTAGAGATATCTTAACCTATCGGGAGAGGACTGTGTCACTGCACACTTTTTCAGAACTCTGGATGGGTAATATCTTTTTAAAATATGACGTTGGGCAAGGGAGAAATCTTGGGACTCCCTAGTTCCTAGTACTTAATCTCTTTTCTACAGGTTTACTGTGAGAGGGAATGAAAAATGTGCCTACCTCAATGATGATGGTGTGGCAACAGCTAGATGCTACACAGAAAGAAAATGGATTTGCAGAAAAAAAGTACACTAAGTACGTAAGTGTTTCTGATGATGGACTTAAAACCGTGGGTAAGATGGTTTTAATATCTGTAAACTTTTTTCTTTCCTTCTGTATAACTTAACTCTCAACATTTTACTGTTTTAATGTTATAGCCTGATAAAACGTCTTCATAATTATTAAAGTAATTTTCATTTAACTTATTTTTTTACTTTTCAAATGGCCTAAATCTTTGCTTTTCTGTATCAATTTTAGAAGAATCTTATAATTTCATAGAACCTATATGTCAATTTTGAGAATGTTATATTTATATCTTCTTATTCATTTATGATATATATCTTGTATTGATTTTTGTCTTCTTATGTATCTTACAATTTTTCCACAAAGTTACTGCATATTATTTATTATATGTATCCCTATTATACATATCTAATATTTTTGCTGTTTCAATTATGTAATTTTATTATCTTTTAAAATAGTTATTTCTATATAGAAATGTAACTGTTTTGGGTATTCTTCTTCTGTCAAACATCCATTCTGAAAACCCTCAAAAATTCTAATAATTTGTGGTTTCTTTTAAATACTGCAAAAGATAGAGTCTAATAAGTTTTATTTTTTCCCGTGTTATAACTATTACTTATATCTTGTCTAACTAAAATGTATAGGATTGCCAGGACAATATTAACGGTGAACACGCTTCACTTTTTCCACATTTTATAGAAAATGCTCCTAACATCTTAACTTTAGTAGTGTTTTATCTAGTTTTTTTTTTTTTAGGTTGACAGTTCTTTTCTATTCCTATTTGCTAAGAGTTTTTTTATAGGAAGAGATTTTTAATTTTTTTATATGATTTTGTTTCTTGCATCTCTTTTGATGTCTTCATGGTTTCTCTTCCTTAATCTTTTAATGTGGTAAATGGCATTTATAAGTTTTCTAATGTTAAAAACTTTGTATTCCTCGACAAAATTCAACTTGGTCATGATGTGATATCATTTTTATTCTAGATAGATTCTTGCTGATATTCTTTTTTAATATTCTTACATCTAAATTTGTGAATGTGATTACCCTAAACTTTTTTCTAGGAAGGCAAAGATTGTGGCCTACAGAATTTGATGAAGACACTATTGGAAAACATGTTGTTTACATCTATGCTATAAAATTGTGAATGATAAATTTAATGTGTCTAGAAAATTAATTATGGTTTACATTTTTATGCATATTTTAGAGTAGATTTTTTTGGGGGGGTCAGCAATAAGGCACAATAGCAACCGTTGAGAGAGTTACTGGAAAAGAATATTGATGGACAGCATGATGTAATCAGAATTGAGTAAATGGTGCTAGGGAGCTGCAAACTGCAGAAGATCCGTCTTGTTTCAATAAAATAAAACTCCTGAGAGCTATGACATTGGGAATAATAACAACATCGCTAACTTTTTTCTTTTTGTTGTGAGGAAGATTGGCCCTGAGCTAACATCTGTTGCCAATCTTTCTCTTTTTGCTTGTGAAAGATTGTCACTGAGCTAACATCTGTGCCAATCTTCCTCTATTTTATGTAGGATGCCACCACAGCATGGCTTGACAAGCAGCACTAGGTCCACTCTGGGAATCCGAACCTGCGAAGTCCAGGCCTCCGAGAAGGAGTCTGTGAACTTAACCACTACACCACTGGACCAGCCCCCAGCATTTATTATTTAAATTAAATAAATGTTTGCCACACGAAATGAAATTACATTGTTAAAATGGTTCATACAACTTATTAAAATATATTTTGCTTTATTTTTGTTTTGACTTTTCCTAATTCCTCCAGGTAGAATTAGAAATTGCTTTCCTCTGTTGCTCTCATAGCTTTTTCTTTATACTTCTATTTTAGCTAGATTCAATTAAACTTGATTTGATTAGTTTCAAATAACATTTATTAAGTGTAAACTACTTGCTATTTACTACACTAGGCCCTAAGGAACAAAAGTTGTGTTGTACCTTCATCAAACTTCTAGAGTGTGTGCAAATGCTCTTGTGTGTGTGTGTGTTTTGCCTTTTGATTTCCCTTCACCGTTTTCTCTTACACACTACTCTCTGCCTGTGGCAACCACCTCCATATTTATGAGCTTGACTTTTGTTTTGTTTTAGATTCCACATACAAGGAGTCAAGAGTTTTTCTTTTCTTCAGATAAATAACCAGAAGTGGAATTGTTGGATCACATGGTAGTTCTATTTTTAATTTTTTTAGGAACTACCATACTGTTTTCCTTAGTGACTGCACCAATTTATATTCCCACCAACAGTGCACAAGGGTTCCCTTTTCATCACATGTTCACCAACAATTGCTATTTCTTATCTTTCTGATAATAGCCACTCTAACAGGTATAAGTCTCTCATTGTGGTTTTGATTTGCATTTTCTTGATGATTACCTATTGGCCATGTGTATGTCTTCTTTGAAAAAATGTCTATCCACATCTCCTGCTCACTTTTTAAGTGGATTTTTTTATATTGAGTTGTATGAGTTCTTTATATATTTTGGATACTACCCCCTTATCAGATATATGATTTGCAAATATTTTCTCCTATCCAGTAGGTTGCCTGAATTTCATTTTGTTAATGGTTTCCTTTGTTGGACAGAAACTTTTTAGTTTGATGTAGTCCCATTTGTTTCCTTTTGCTTTTGTTTCTTTTTCTTTTGGTGTCAGATTCAAAACTGTATTGTCAAGACCAATGTCAAGGAGCTTACCACCTGTGTTTTCTTCTAGTTTTATGGTTTCAGATCTTATGTTCAAGTCTTTAAACCACTTTAAGTTAATTTTTGTGTATTTTGTAAGACAGCAGTCAAGCTTCATTCTTTTGCATATGGCTGTCCAGTTTTCCCAATACCATTTATTAAAGAGACTAATCTTTCCCATTATATATTCTTGGCTCCTTGGTCATAAATTAATCGATCACATATACGTGGGTTTATTTCTGGACTTACTAGTCTGTTCTACTGATCTATATGTCTGTTTTTATGTCAATACCATCCTGATTTAATTACCATAGCTTTGTAATATAGTTTGAAATCAGAGAATACGATGTCTCCAGCTTTGTTCTTCTTTCTTAAGATTTCTCTGCCTATTCAGGGTACTTTGTGGTTCTATACAAATTTTAGGATTACTTTTCTATTTATGTGAAAAATGCCACTGTAATTTTGATAGAGATTGCGTTGAATCTATAGATTGCTTTGGGTAGTATGGACATTTTAATGGTATTGATTATTCCAATCCATGAGCACAAAATATCTTTCCATTTATTTCTGCCTTCAGTTTCTTTCATTAATGGCATGTAGTTGTCAATACACAGGTCTTTTACCTCCTTGGTTAAATTTATTCCTAGATATTTTATTCTTTTTAATGCAATTGTAAATGGGATTGTTTTCTTAATTTCTCTTTCTGATAGTTTGTTATTAGTGTAACAACAGAGTTTTGCATATTAATTTTTGTATCTTACAACTTTAATGAATTTGTTTATCAGTTCTAAAAGTTTTATGATGGAATTTTAAGGATTTTCTATATATATATCATGTTATTGGCAAATAGTGACAGTTTTACTTCTTCCTTTCCAATTTGGATGCCTTTTATTTCTTTTTCTCACCTGATTATTCAGGCTAGGTCTTCCAATAGCAAGTTAAATAAAAGTAGTGAGAGTGGGCATTCTCGTCTTGTTCCTAACAGTAGAGGAAAATCTTTCGGCTTCTCATCATTGAGTATGTTGCTTTGGGCTTGTGATACATGGCCTTTATTATGTTGAGGTACATTCCCTCTATACCAGTTTTCTTGAGAGTTTTTATCATAAATGGACATTGAATTTTGTCAAGTGCTTTTTCTGAATCTATTGAGATGATCATATAATTTTTATCCTTCATTTTGTTAATCTTGTGTATCATGTTGATTGATTTGTGGATGTTGAACCATCCTTGTATCCCAGGGATAAATCTCACTCAATCATAGTGTATGATCTTTTTAATGTATTGTTGAATTCTGTTTGCTAATGTTTTCTTAAGGATTTTTGCATGTGTGTTCATCAGGAATATTGCTTGTAATTTATTTTCTTGTGCTGTCCTTGCGTGGTTTTGGTATTAGGGTAATGCTGGCCTCGTAGGCTGAGTTTGGAAGAGTTCCCTCCTCTTCTATTTTTTGTAAGAGTTTGAGAATTGTTATGAATTATTCTTTGAATGTTTGGTAGAATTCACCAGTGAAGCTATCTGATCTTGGACTTTTATTTGTCAGGAGGTTTTTGATTACTGATTCAATTTCCTTACTAGTAATTGGTCTGTTTAGATTTTCTATTTCATCCTGATTCAGTCTGGGTAGATTGTATGCTTGTAGCCATTTATCCATTTCTTCTAGATTATCCAACTTGTTAGCATATAATTGTTCATAGTACTCTCTAATGATCCTTTGTATTTCTGTGGTGTCAGTTGTAACAACTCCTTCTTCATTTCTGATTTTATTTATTTAAGTTCTTTCTCTTTTTTCCTTTGTGAATATAGCTAAAGGCTTATCAGTTTTGTTTATCTTTTCAAGGAACAAACTCTTGCTTTCATTGATCTTCTTTATTGTCTTTTTAGTCTCTATTTCATTTGTTTCTCCTCTAATATTTGTATTTCCTTCCTTCTAGTAATTTTGGGCTTCATTTATTCTTCTTTTTCTGGTTCCTTGAGGTGCAAAATTAGGTTGTTTACTTGAGACTTTTCTTGTTTCATAAGGTAGGCATTATTGCTATGAACTTCCCTCATAGAACTTCTGATGTTGCATTCCACAAATTTTGCTATGTTAGATATTTTTTCTCTAGATATTTTTTATTCCTTTCTTGATTTCTTCTTTCACACCTTGGTTGTTCAGTAGCATGTTCTATAATATCCACAAATTTGTGATTTTTCCAGTTTTCTTCATGTAATTAATTTCCAGTTTCATACCTTTGAGGTTGAAAAAGATGCTTGATATGATTTCAATCCTCTTAACTTTATTAAGACTTGTTTTGTGGCCTAACATATGAGCTATTGTGGAAAATGTTCCATGCGCACTTGAGAATAATGTGTATTCTTTTACTTTTGGATGGAATGTTCTGTATATATCTATTAAGTCCATCTGATCTAATGTGTCATTTCAGGCCAATGTTCCTTATTGATTTTCTGTCTGGATGATCTATACATCGATATAAGTAGGGTATTAAAGTGTCCCACTATTATTGTATTGCTATTTCTCCCTTTAGGTCTGTTAATATTTGTTTTATATATTTATGTTGGGTGCATAAATATTTACAAATGTTATATCCTCTTGTTGAATTGACTCCTTTATCACTGTGTAACAACGATCTTTGCCTCCTATTACAGTCTTTGTTTTAAAATCTATTTGTCTGATACAATTATAGCTACTCCAGCTTTCTTTTGGTTTCCATTTATAAGAAGTATTTTTTTCCATCCCTTCACTTTCAGTCTGAGTGTGTTCTTACTTCTAAAGTGAGTCTATCATAGGCGGAATATAGATGGGTGTTGATTTTTAATCTATCCAGCCACTCTATGCCTTTTGTTTGGAGAATTGTGGTTTGATGACTTTATTTAGCGGTGTGCTTTGTGATTGATGACTTCATTTAGTGGTATGTTCATATTTCTCTGTCTTTAATTTTTGTGTATTTATTATAGGTTTTTGCCTTGTGGTTACCACAAAGCTTACATATAACAACTTATAGCTATAAGAGTCTATTTTAAGTTGATAAAAACTTAAGTTTGATCCCATTATAAATCTCAACATTTTTATTCGTCCCTACCCCCAACATTTTGTTTTTGGTGTCAAATTTTGCATCTTTTTATCTTGTGTATCTCTTAACTAATTATTGTAATCATAGTTATTTTTATTATTTTTGTCTTTTAACTTTCATACTGCCTTTATAAGTGACTAACCCACTATCTTTATTATTTATTTACCTTTCCAGTGAGTTATGATTTTATATATTTTCTTCTTACTATTCAGAGCTCTTTCTTTTCAGCTTAAAGAAGTCCTGTTAACATTTCTTGTAATACCAGCTTAGTAGTGATGAACTCCTTTAGGTTCCGCTTTTCTGGAAAACTCTTTATTGCTCCTTCAATTCTGAATGATAATTTTGCTGGGGAAAATATTTTGGTTAGATGTATTTTTATTTTAGCACTTTGAATATAGTGTGCCACTCCCTTCTGGCCTGCAAAGTTTCTGCCAAAAAAATATGCTGATAGTCTTGTGGGGGTTCTGTTGAATGTAACAATTTGTTTTTCTCTTGCTGCTACTAATACTCTCTCTTTGTCTTTAAATTTTGACATTTTAATTACAATGTGTCTTGGTATGGGTCTCTTTGATTCATCTTATTTGGAACTTTCTGGGCTTCGTGGATCTGAATGTATGGTTCTTTCCCCAGGTTAAGGAAGTTTTTAGCCATTATTTCCTCAAATAACATTTGCGCCCCTTTCTCTCTGTCTTCTCCTTCTGAGAGACCCATAATGCAAATGTCAGTTCGTTCTGTGTTGTCCCGTAAGTGTCTTAGCTATCTTCACTTTTTTTCATTCTACTTTCTTTTTGATCTGATTGGGTGAATTCCTCTGCCTTGTCTTCAAGTTGACTTATCCTTTCTTCTGCTTCATTTAGTCTGATGTTGAACCTCTCTAGTGTATTTTTCAGTTCAGTTATCACATTCTCCAGTTGTGTGAGTTCTATTTGGTTCGATCTTATATTTTCCATCTCTGTTGAAATTCTCATTTGTGTTCATCCATTCTTCTCCCCAGTTCAATGATTATCTTTATGACCATTACTTTGAACTTTTTATCAGGTAAATCACTTATCTCCATTTCTTTAATGCTTTTTTTCCCGAAATTTTTATCTTGTGCTTTCATTAGGAACATATTCTTCTATTTCTTCATTTTTCTTGACTCTCTGTCTTAGTTTCTATACAGTAGATGAAACAACCAGCTCTCCCAGTCTTTAAGGAGTGGCCTTGTGTAGGAGGTAAACCTTGCTGTTCAATCCTGCCTAGCTCTTTGCTGTCTTTCAAATCTTTGTGCCTGTCCAACCAGCATATTATATTTTTAATAGCTCCTAGTAATCCAGGATGTGCCAAGGCCTGTTGGTGTCCCTAACAGGAAGATCTCAGCACCTAGATTCAGGCTGATTTGAATCAAGATTCTTAGGTAGCAGCTTTTTAAAGTATGCAAATATGTACAGTCCTATGGGGCTGCAAGTATAAGCCCTTCTGGCCTCCAGAGCCAGGTGATCTTGTGGTGTTCCCTGGGAAGCAGCCACAAAAATAAGGGCACCCAATATAAATATCAGGGCACCATACATGTGTAAAGCTCCCTTCTGGAGACACTGGCACTCTGGAACACAGCAGAAGGAGAACGTGAAGGTAGTGCCCACCCTCTGAGTTCTCTGGAAATGATTACAGCCAGCCCCTAGATGCAAATTTAATTAAAAATCTGGTCCTGAGATCACAGCCACACTGATTAGCTAATGGGCCTCCTTCACAGAAAGAGCTCCTGGGTCTGTTGCCTATCTCTGTGCCCTGGGAGTGGGTGCTACTTAAGAACTCTTTTACTCCATTTGTTGCAGTCCTGTGAGACCCATGAGAATAAGCCACACTGGCTGCCAGAGCCAGGTGACGTAGAGATGTACTCTGGCAGCTGTCACAAAAACAAGGGCACCAGAGAGGTGTCTGAGCTCCTTTCTTGGTAACACCAATTACTACAGTCCCATGGGACCAGGAATGCAAGCCCTCCTGGCCTCCAGAGCCAGACAGTGAAGAGCTGTCTCCTGGGTAGTAGCCACAAAAACTTGGGGCACCAGATGAATGTAAAAGCTCCCTTTCAGGAGATACTGGTGTTTGAGAGCAGAGCAAAGGGAGAGTGCAAAGATGGCATCCACCCATCTCCATCTGTGGAGAGTGCCCCAGCAGCCTCTTGTATGTGTGTGTTAAGTTAGATGCCTGTCCCTCACACCACAACTTCATATAAGCCAGTAGCCCTCTTCACTTTAAGTTTGAACACAATTGGCTGCCTCTGAGCTGGGCCCTGGGGTGGGTAAGTCTGAATGTGTGAACCCTTTAAAAGCCTTTTCTGAAATTTCTACATTCTTGTGGGTCTCGGGATGTGACCCCCTTTGGTTTTCAAAGTCAGATGTTTTGGGGACTCATCTCTCAGGTGCGGGTCTTAAAAGCTGAGGTGCCCAATGTAGAGTTCAAACCCTTCACTCTTCAAGAAGCTCCAGATTTAGAGTTTCCTCCTGGTTGTGGGTCACTATGATAAGGGTGAAATTTATGGCAAGACTATGTCGCAACCTCTCCTACTCACATTAATGTGGTTCTCTTCTCATTTTCTTGATGTGCAGTCATCTCTCAGCCAGCCTTTAGCTTTTTTAAAGAGAAAACTGTTCTACATGTAGTTGTAGACTCAGTGTGTCTGTGGAAAGAGGTGAGTTCAGGATCTTTCTGTGTTGTCATCTTGAACCATAACTCTCCAGGCATTGCTTTGCATAATAGGGATACAATAGGAATACAAGCAGGGAAAAGCTCTTGCCCACGTAAAGCTTAAATTCCAGATGAGAAGACAGAAAATAAAATATAACATTTTAAAAGATACAAAGAAAAGCAAAGTATTTGGAAAAGGAAACAAAGTTATACTTTTTATGCATGTCTGGTTAATTGTTTCATTAATGGTATGAATCAGGCTAAAACATAAAGGCTAGTTCAAACAGTGGTAAAAATGGTTGCTGGTTGTCTGGTGAGGTCATTACCATTTCTTTTTTTTAAGCTACAAACCAGCAAAGGATTGTGGAGATCAAGGATACAAATGTGAACTTGAATGGTCACTCTCATGAATAGGTTTGGAACAATTTTACCATCAAAATAGATTATAATCCATTGAACAATATGGATGTGAAAATGAGAGCCCACAAAGATACAAACACAAAAATGAATAAATAGAAATTTTGATGATGAGCTGGATAGTTGCAAAATTTAGAAGTACCTCCTGTCAAAGCAAAAATTACACTGACAATGTTACACGGTTAGGGAAGGCTTTGTTCAAAAGTTACTGCAATAGACGAGATAGGCCAGAACTCAGTCTGAATTAAAATCTTCTGAAACAAAGGGAAGTAGGGTCTTTAAGAGCTGAGGTGAGGGGGAGATCATACATCATCCGTGTTTGCTAAATGGCTTTACCCAAAGGAAAATTAAACTTTATCAGATTTTCATAATAAGAGGTAGTTTTACATCTGGGAGCTGGGCATCTACTGCAATTAGGCCTCTACCCTCCCATAGAAGCTGAAAAATAGAGGTGCTATCTTTCTTGATGATTTTATTTCAAAGAGATGGCTTGCAGGTCATTGAAAAGGACATTTCCAGGTTGTAAAAGTTTCAAGAGGTTTCTTAAAAAACTTTAAATCTCAAACAGAGAAAGAATTTACAGTTACAAGTTTTGTAAAGTAAATGCTATATAAAAAAAAAGGGAGGTCAGAGGTGGATAGTCAGGAAGAAAGAAGCTTGTCTAAATTATAGTCAAGCTGAGAAAATGTTAATGTCATCTTGGTCACTACCCACAAGATATTAATTAATTACAAAGGAAAAAGAGTAACTTTCCAATGAAGTCTGGTGGAGACTACATTAGTCAGGTGAATGAAGTGAATGTCATCAATAAGGGAAGAAATAAAAATGTACACCTTCTGAAAGGATGCAGCGAGAAAAATAAAGCTTTTCAGCATCACTTCTCTGCCAAGGAAGTTTAACTTGTATATAACCAGAGAAATAATCAGACAAATTCAAATTGAAGAAAATTTTACAAAATAACTGGCCTGTAGTACTCAAAAGCGCCAAAGTTCTGATTGTCAAGGAAAGCTAAGGAACTCTTCTAGATGGAAGGAGACTAAAAAGACATAGTAACTAAATGTGGAAAATTATTCCGAGCTGGATGTTTTACTTTGAAGAACATTATCTTGACAATTGGCAAACCTTGAGGTGAGTCTGAGAATTACATGGTAGTACTGTGTCAATGTTTATTTGTTGATTTTAATAATTGTACTGTAGTTAAGTAGGAGTTGTTTTTGTAGGAACTATACACAAAAGTACCCAAAGATACCTGAAATTTTATAATAAAATGCATCAATTTGGAAACTAATTCTCAAAACATTCAGGAAAAAGATAAGTTCTTTTTTCTGTACCTGTAATTTTCTTAGAAGTTCATGATAATTTCTAAATTTAGATAAAAATTACATAAAATCTAAAGCAAACGAACATATTTAACATTTTTTACGCAGAATTTCCAGTTTTACAGTTTATGTCATAGAAATAAAAGTGCTACTACTTAAGAAAATATTCAGAATATTTATTACAGCGTAGTTTATAGTAGCAAAAACATGGAAACAAAGTTAATGCTCATCAATATGAGTGAAAAATGTATAAATCCACACTACAATGCAACTCAGATCTATACAAAATTTGTATAGGATATTGTTAAGAATTCAAAAAGCAAAATATAGAAAAGTAGGCATAATTTGATAACACTTGTAAAATAAAAAGTGAACAAAAATTCTGAATATGAATGCATGAGCTCACACTGGATTACATTATCACATAAAAAATGGGAAAAGTGTATTTTACATTGTTGACATGGGTTACTCCAAGTCTAGGACCAATGTAGGTGATTGAGGGAAAATAAAGAAGCTATTTTGGCGTTCAATTGCAGTTTTAAATTCTTACCCCTAAAGATTAATATTAGAACCTAATAGGCAAAAGATTTTATCATTGATTATTCCATTATCATTTTTTTTAAATTCTAATATTGGCAAACCCATTTGAAAACATTGCTGCAGGTTTCAGAGTAAATTTTGTTTTCCTTAGTGGCAGCACAGCTGTTTTCTTTAGCTGGACCTTTTATGAAGAATCTGCAGAAGAGAGGAGAAATACATTGTTAATCGTTGTTGAAGACACCATTTGTGTTTTTAGCTAATATGCTCCTTTAATTAAAAGGTAATTCAAAATTTTAAGGCATTTTCAAATACTTTGACTCATTAAATATTATAATATCTCTGTAACTTATTATTGCTGTCTCTGATCGTCAGAGAGCTCCCAGAGCATTTGTTTGCAAATGACAGAGCTGAGAATAAATTTGTCTCCATATTCCGGTTCTAATATTCTTTCCCTTGTTCCATGTGGTCCACTAGATTAAAAATTAAGATAAAGTGCACAAGGACAGCTTGTTTAACCTTTCTTGGCTTCTCATATCTAATTATACAATAGTGACAGTAGCATTTACCTCATGATATCATTATACAGGTTAAATGAATTCATGCCTGTAAAAAACTCAATACACAAACTGATCCATTTAAACCGTAAATAAATTGTATATTTTTTGTATTATTTATCCATAAAACAGTGTGTTAAATACAATAATAGAGTTATCTATAAAATACTGTAGTATCCATGATTTATTTAAAACGAGGAGACAGGTTAAGAAAGAATCACGGAAAAGATGCACATGATCATCGAAGCTTCCAAATTAATAGGGGGCAAGTAAGCAAATTTTCGTAGAGTTAAAATTCAATATTAAAGGTAATTTTGAGTGAATCTGGCATAAGAAAAAAATCCTAGGTTAGCATCTTCGTAAGTGAGTATCAAGTAATGTTCAGTGGTACAGTTCTACCCTCAGAAGACACACACCCATAATTTTACTCTCCATTCCAAAAAATATCTTCAATTGACTTCCGTTGATTAATTTGGTGCAGTGATACAGAAAATGAGTAATATTTAATCGTGAAATGAGTGAAGGGAAAATAACACAATAAAATGGTTAAGTTGGTTACCATAGTGTATTCATTTCTTATCACTACTACATAAATTACCACAAATTTAGGGGCTTAAAACAGCACAAATTTGTTATCTTACGGTTAAGAGATCAGAAGTCCAAAATTGATCTTAAGGCCTGAAATCAAGTGTCTGCAGAGATGCCTTCTGCAGGCACTAGGGACAAATCCATTCATGGTCTTTTTCAGCTTCTAGAGGCTCCCTGCACGCTGTAGGTCACAGTCACATTATTTGGACCTCTGTGTTTGTCTTCCCATTTCCTTCTCTGACTCTGCGCCTACTTCCTGCCTTTTATAAGGACTCTGGTGATTACATTAGGTCCACTTGGATAATCCAGCATAATATTCCTATCTCAAGATTATTAATCACAGGATTTGGGGATTAGCCTATGGACTTTATGAAGATAAACTCTACAGTAAAGAGTAAATCAGATTGCCTTTTAGGAAAGACTCACATCTTTGAATCTAATGGAGAACCATCCACCCAGGTCCATGTCCTCTTCAGGGAGGTAAAATTAAGCCCAATCCACACATAATTTGATTGTTTTAGGTTTTTCTGTATAAAAGACTAAAAAAAGTGGGTGATGAATAACTAAATGAACAGACTATTTTAATAATTCAAACATACTAAGCAAGATTTGATAATTTTATTGGACACATAGCATTCTGCATGAGGATTCTTATAATAATTTTATATCTTATTTACACACACAACATATAATGTATATTATATATATATATATACACATACACTACTTACATTTGAATACAGGTATTCAGACTAGGACTAGCATGAGTCAACTGAGGCAGTGGCTTTGAGCAAGAAATTTAAGAGGGCACCAAAACCTCAATAATCAAGATAAATGATAATTTAATGGAGTGGTGGGAAGAAATTTGAGGAAAAGCATTTTTAACTGCAAAGAGACTAATACCCTAACCACAATACTAAACCACTTACCATTTCAAGTTGGTCCTGAATGATTAGTAGATGAGATTGTCTTCCCAAACAATACCCATAACTGTCACTCCAATTTTTCATCTCATTAGAGAACCAATAACACTTTTCTTGATATTTGAGCCATTCTGATGGGCACAATCCTATAGGGAAATGGATGAAACACAGAAAAATTAAATTACATATGCATCTCTGAAAATTGACAGTGATAATAATTCTTATGTGTTGTATGAATAAGAGTGGAGCTATGACAAAATCACTCGTAACAAAGTGTTCAGACTCATAAGGTATCCAAAATACAAATGGTAACCCATGGGCATTAAGAAAACTAACTTAGTAAGATGAAGGAAAACCTAGACATAAAGGGATTCTTTTCCAGGCCACGGTCTAATATAATTACTAAAGTAACATAAACCAATTAAGATATATAGTGCATTAATACTACTCAAGCAATTAGATAAAATATTTTCTATACCACTTTTCTAGAATTCTTCCATGTGAAAGTTTTAGAATCGCTATCGTTTTATGTGTGTAAATCTCTCTTTAATATCTCCTTTTTGATATTACATAATATTGAGATTGAGTCTTTTAACTTTATAATTACAAGTTCATCAAGTCCTTTGATTTTCAGAAATTAAAATTAATTTGAGGTCTTCTCAAATTGAAAATATCTGAGACTTTTCACAAATAATGAGATACAGTGAAGTATATGTAAAAATATAAGTGCAGACCAAGAAAACTATTCAAACTTGCAACCATTACAATCTCCTTTTTTATTGTGGTAAAATTTAAGTAATATAAAATTCACCATTTTAACCATTTTAAAGTGCAAACACCTTACGTTTTAGTACATCCACAGTTTATGCAGACATGACTACTACCTAATTCCAAAATATTTTCGTCATGCCAAAATGAAACCCCATAAACATTAAGGAGCCACTACTCATTCTCACTATCCTCAGCCTTGGCAATCACTGATCTGCTTTCTGTCTTTATAGGTTTGACTATGATAGACATTTCATATAAATGAGAGCATATAATATGTAGCTTATTGTGTCTGGCTTTTTTACTTAGCATAATGTTTTCAAGGTTCATCCAATTGAAGCATGTATTAGTACTTCTTTCCTTTTATGTCTGTATAGGATTCCATTGCAAGGAGGTAGCACAACTTGTTAATCCATATATCACCTGCTGACATTTGAACTGTTTCCACTTTTTGGCTGTTATGAATAATCCTGCTATGAACCTTCATGTATGAATTTTTGTGTGGATATATGTTTTCCATTCTCTTGGTGCATTCCTAAGACTTAAATTGCTTGAATTCTATGTTTAACTTTTGGAGAAACGGCCCAACTGTCTCCCCGAGTGTTGCATCATGTCACATTCCTACTAGCAATGTTTGAGCAATTTCTCCACATCCTCACCAAAACTTGCTGTTGCTGTTTGATTATAGCTACCTTAGTGAATGTGAAACACTTTCTCATTGTGGTTTTGAGTTTCCATTTCCTTAACGGCATATCATGTTAAGCACCTTTTCACGTGCTTTGTCTAGTTTTGTATAGTTTTGTATAGTTTCTTTGGAGAAATGTCTGCTTATGTCTTTTGCCCATTTTTTAACTGAGCTTTTTCTCTTTTTGTTTTGGAGTTATAAGAGTTCTTTATGTATTCTGGATATTACACACCTATTTGCTACATGATTTGAAGATTGGCCCTGAGCTAACATCTGTTGCCAATCTTTCTGTTCTTTTTTTCTCCCCCAAAGTACATAGTTGTATTTCCCAGTTGTAGCTCATTCTAGTTCTTCTATTTGGGATGCTGCCACAGCATGGCTTGATGAGGGGTGTATGGGTCTGTGCCCAGGATCCAAACCAGCGAACCCTGGGCCACCAAAGCAGAGTTAATGAACTTAACTACTCTGCCATGGGGCCAACCCTGGTGTGTTGTTTTTTCAATTTCTTGGTAATAATCTTTCATGAAGAAATTCTTTACTTTGGATGACATCTATTTCATCTACTTTTTTCTTTTGTCACCTGTGCTTTTGATATCTTATTTGAAATCATTGTCTTATTCAAGGTTATGAAGATTTTATATCATTTTTCCTTCTAAAAATTTTATAGTTTAGCTCTTACACTTAAGTCTTTGAATTGATTTTTCTGTGTTGTATGAGCTAAGTGTTCAAATTCATTCCTTGCAAGCGGATATCCATTTGACCAAGACTCATTTACTGAAAAGATCATTCTTTCCACATTTGACAATTTTGGCACCCATGTCAAAAATCATTTGGTTATAGCTGTATGGGCTCAATTCTGGAATCTCAATTCTATTCCACTGTTCGAGGTCTATCTTTAGGTCAGTACCACACTGTTGTGATTACAGTAGATTTGTAGTAAGTTTTGACACTGGAAAGTGTGAATCTTCCAAATTTGTTATTTTAAAAGATTGTTTTTGCTATTCAGGATCCCTTGCAATTCCATATGAAATTTAGGACCACCTTGCCCATTTCTTCAAAAAAAGCCATTAGAATTTTGATAAGGATCTTTTTGACTCTGCAGATCACTTAGGTTAGTATTGTCATCTTAAATAAATTGTAGTATATACATGCAATGGAATATTATTCAATCATAAAAAGGAATAAAGTGCTGACATGATGCAACATGGGTGAATTCAAAAACATTATGCTAAGTGAAGGAAGTAAGACACAAAAGGTCAAATATTGTGTGATTTCATTATATGAAAATCCAGAATAGGTAAATCCATAGAGACAGAAAGCAGATTAGTGGTTGCTAGTGACTAAGGGGAGAGGTAAAGGGGAGTAATTGCTTATTGGATACAGCATTTATTTTTTGGATGATGAAAATGTTTTGGAACTAGGTAAATATGGTGATTGCACATTTGAATGTCCTAACACTGTTGAATTGTCTAATTTTAAATGGTTAACCTTATTCTTATGAATATTACCTCAATTAAAAAAGAAGAAAAAAGTAATAAAGAAATTAATATCTTATAGTTTGGCATACAGTATTTAGACCTTAATGAATGTTTAATGGCATCTATATGATTTTATGTTTACCTATCAAAGCTTCTTTACCTCTGGAAATGTTCCCTTAGGATACCCAACATAATAAGGAATTAGCCAGTCAGAGTGTAAAATATGTGGTAAAATTACAATATTTCAATTGGTTTGGGAATTGTATGTGCAAAACAGATAGATAATCCAAAGGAAAATTGTCAATAAGTAAACTATAATATATATGACATTTTTATATGTGATAAAGGGGACAATAGAAGCTAGTGGAACAGAGAAAAATTCTTTCTTGAATACTTATAAAATAAATTGACCTGAACCTTCCTCACATATAATACTATAAAATAAATGTCGAAAGCTCAAAGAGTAAAGTGTTAAAAAGTAAACTAAAATTAAAAAATTAGTAGTAGAAGGGACAGCTTTCCAAAATTCTGTGTGATTGGAGGTTCTAAGCTTAAAATCAAAATGGATAATTCATTAGACATACCTACTTTTATCCATTTCATATTTCACAAAAAGGATAAATAAGTAAGAGACAAAAAAATAGTTATCTGTATACTGCCTTATAATCACAACTGACTTTCCATATTTATGTGTCTCAACTTGATTTTAAATTCCTGGAAGAAAAAGCCTATTTGCCGTATACATTTTTACAGCTCTCTTCCCACCACAAAAAAATTTAAAAATGTATGAATCAAAGTGACAAGAGCAACATGGCAGAGTGAACAGTTTTCTTTGTCTCTCTCCCTTCTAACTACAAGTAAATGCACATTCATTGATCAATGAAGGATACTCACACACCACCTCAGGACAACTGAGAGACCCATGCTGCTATACATAGGAAAGTGGATGGACTACTCCCAGGAGAGAGATGGAGATAAATGAGAACTCTCTGGCCCCCAGACAGCCCAGTATCCATGAGCGACTCTCTCCCAGTTGAAGTGCTCATAGCACTGCTGCAGCCCCGAGAGTGGGCATGTGCCTGGGCATGACTGCGGAAACAGATGACTGCAGCCCTGAGGCCCTGTGATTGCTCTTTGGACCAGTGGGAAAATCCACAGTCCCAACGCAGCCCCAGGGAGTGACTCGGGCTCAGACTTGGTAAGGAGGGTCTGCCCACCAAGCACAAAGGCTGGTGTGACCTACAAGCAGATGCAGCACAGCTGGGTGAGCAAACCACTGGCTGCCTTAAACGTCCATAGGTCTGCTGCAGCCCCAAGAGGGCAAGTGAGATCCAGCAGGACTGCAGTAGTGGGCAGCGATGATCCTGAGACCCAGCATGATCACTTCTTGGTCCACTGGGAAAATCCACTATCCCACAGTGGCCCCAGGGAGACATTTGGCTTGGCTCTTGTGGAGTGGCCCCGCCCACCAAGCACAAAGGTTGATGTGACCTAGGAGCAGACATGGCATGGCTGGGCAAGCAAACCTAGGGAACACATGGCAGTGTATCTGCTGCCTGAGTGAAAGTACCCTGGCTACTGCAAATGTCCACAGTAGCACAGCAGCCCCAAAGGGGCAGCACAACTGACAGGACTGTGGAAGCAGGAGACAGCAGCCCTGAGCCCCTGTGTGATCACTCTCTTGACCAGTGGGAGAGTCTACAATCCCACCAAAGGCCCAGGGAGGAGCACAGGCTCAGATTCAGTGGAGAGGCCCCAACCAACAAGCACAACAACTGGTACAACCTAGGACCAGATGGTGGTGGAGCTACAAGTCTGGATGAACAAGTTCCTGACTTCCTTGAAAGTCCATAACACTGCTGCAGTCCCTAAGAGGGGAGTGTGTCTAGGCAGGTCTGTGTGAGCAGGCTGCAGCAACTTGCAGCTCCATGTGATTGTTCTGACTGTTCACAGGAGACCCTACAGGACCACTGCAATTCCAAGGAATGGCCCAGGCTTGGTCAAGAGCAGCTTATGGGGATCCTGGTACATGTAGATTACATAGGTCCTGCCCCCTTCCCCCAGTGGCAGCAAGTGGAAGCAGTAATCAAATGCTCTATCAATATGGAGTCACAAATCCATGCCACCAAGCAGTATGAAAAAATACATTAAATCTACAGAACAGAGGGAAAATGACAAGTACCCACAAAAAAAATATTGAAGACACAGAAATCTA